GGTGAGAGGCCTCACACATCTCCCTGAACTGCCTGAAGTGCCCGGCAACACTGTGGCCAACTGAAGGGATCTCCATGATGGGGACAGTTTCAAGGTCAAAGCCATCAACAGTTGTTTCCGGCAGGCTTTTGGTGCCTGCTTTCGAGGATTTCATTTTATTTCTTTATTTCTTTATGTATGTACGTATATATGTATGTATGTTTATTTTTTAATTTTGACAAAGAGAGAGAGAAAGAGAGAGACCGAGCAGGGGAAGGGCAGAGAGAGAGGGAGAGAGAGAATCCCCACACTGTCAGTGGGGAGCCCGATGCAAGGCTTGAACTCATGAACCATGAAATCATGACCTAAGCCAAAACCAAGAGTCGGATGCCTAACTCACTGAGCCCCGCCATGTGCCTCGAGGATTTCATTTTAACATGACAAAAGAAAGAATAAAAGGGATCCATTTCCTCCCTGCATACACATGAAATATTACCAGAGAGCAACGGCACTCCTCCGGGAACAACACATAGCCTTCACGCGGACATGGGTCCCGTAAATCACTTTGGTATCATAAGACTGAGTATAAGCCCGGCCCTGCTACTCACTGGCAGAATGGTCTCAAGCAAGGCCTTCAAACTCGTCGGCTTTAACTTCTTCAGCTGAAAAGCAGAGATGGTAATACTTACCATGGCTGCCTCACGGGAATGTCTGCAAAAGTGCCTTGTAAACCATCTTGTGCTTTACTAACAACAGGGATCGTGACTACACTTGTAAGGGCAGCGGAGGAGTGGAACAAAAACCTCCCTCCTCATCAGAATGGAAAAAAGAAGGGGCGCCTGGGTGGCTCAGTCGGTTGAGCCTCCGACCTCAGCTCAGGTCATGATCTCGCAGTTCGTGAGTCCGAGCCCCGCATCGGGCTCGGCGCTGACCGCTCAGAGCCTGGAGCCTGCTTCGGATTCTGTGTCTCCCTCTCTCTCTCTGCCCCCCATCCCCACTCACGCTGTCTCTCTCTCCCTCGAAAATAAATAAGCATTAAAGAATGTTTTTAAAAAAGATTCTATAGAATGGAAAAAAGGAACAAGAGTTCCTCCCGAGGGGCAGAAACCGACGTGGCATGCACCAGAGGTGAACCAGCTTCTCTCTGTGATATAAGTGTGGGAACTTGGCTAAAGCCTGCACTCCCTTTAGAACGAGGGCAGACAGAAAGCCGGAGGGTCAGCAAACCATGCCCTAGAGAGAAACCGAAACACAACTCTGAGTGCGGTTTCAGGCCCAATTCGTGGCAGCCTTTTCTTGGGCGTCCTGGGAGTCATGGTTCGCTGACTGGCAGGAAAATGGAGCTTTCATGAACCCAGCCTCCTACCCACTCACGGTCGTCTGCATCAAGCGCTCAAGAGGCCTCTCGAAAGGGATCCGCAAAAAGGCATTCTGCACCGGGCCCCATGAGGAATATCACAGGGAGCTAACTAGGACACGGGAAACCTGGCACGGGAGAACCCAAGCACTAGCTGCAGGCCTCCCTCTATTCCTGGGAAAAAACTTCCGCGGCCTTAACTGCCTCCTGCCTCCGTTTTCCCACGGGGAAAGCAGCCTTAACAGTGAGACTCAGAGGGGGAGTGGGGGCGTCTAACCCAACCCATGCATCTCACAAAGGAGGAGACTGAGGCTTGGGAGGTGGCCCGAGGGTACACTGCTAATGAGTAACCAAGGTAGGACCAGAATCCAGATTATGCCCCTCTCCCCGGACTAGCGCGCCTTCCACCCACCTGTTTCTTCCAGGGGTCTTCCCAGGAAGACAGGAATTGGCTGAAGGGGTTGCTTTCAAACAATCAGTACCATTTCTCCATCATTCTGCCAGCTGCAGGGAAAGACACGGGTTGGGGGATGGGGGGAGACAGCCGCAGCCTTCAGCCATGTTCAACGTAGCACTTAAAGATCCACCCCCCCCCCAATGGTTTTAAGTAGGTTTTCAAGTCCGAGGATGGTGAGCAACCCTAGGACGGTGAGGAAGATCCTTCCAAAAGCATTGGGGAGGGCAAATGGCACTGACGATGAAAACCAAGAAGCGAGACCATACAGGAGCCCTTCGTAATAGCAGCGTTTGGTTACAGCACCTTCTCAGGCCCGCAGTCCTGGAAGCACAAGCACAAGTTCATGGGCCATGACCTGTGCAGTCGCAGGGACCTGCGCTGGGTTCAATGCTCTGCTGTCACCGTTTGGGAATTCTTAGTAACTCATGAACAGGACACCTGGCATGTTCATTTTGCACTGGGCCCCTCAAATCTTGTAGCTGGTCCTGCTTCATCACCCTCAGCCTTAAAGGGGTGTCCCATCTACACCGCCCCTCCCACCCCCACCCCAGCCCAGCCAAATAGGAGCAAACAAAAGCCCTGCGCCTCTCGGCCCATGTGGGCGCGGAGGGTGGGGGGGTGTCCGGGGTTCGGGAGAGGAGGAATCCTGTGACAATGTCAGAGGAGCATTAGGAGCCTACATCCTCGGGGAAGAGGCCCACTAACCAGGGGTCTCTTCCAGCCCTGGCAACATACACGCCGCTATGACAATGACCCCCAGCCCACCCCCAAACCGCGTGCTGCCGGAAGCTTTGGTTCCAAGTGATGCTCCCGTCCGCCCTGCTCCGGACTCAAGGTCCCCAGTGCTGCCGGAAGCGACTCAGCGCGCCCAGGGGGAAACGGGGAGAGCACGCGTCCCTCCTGAGCTGAGGGAAGCTGCCAGAAGCTGCCGGGCCCGCAGCCTGGTCCGCTTCCGCCCGCTGGGCGGTCCCGCCGACGTCGCAGCTGAGACAAAGTTTGGGACGGGTGATTAGCGGGGCGGCTCTCAGGAGAGTAATCCCAGCCCTGGCCTCGCCCTGGTCACAGAGGCGACGAATGTGGCGGGCAGGCTGCCCGAACTGCCCAAACGCCGCAACCGGCGCGCCGGACTCGGCCGCGAACACCCTATCTTACAAGCGGGGCGGAGCCGCGGCGGGGGGCGGAGCTACCGAGATGGGGAGGGGTTTCAGCAGAGGCGTGGTTTCTGATGTGAGACTATGAATAAGCTAATGATGCCACCGACCTACCGCGAAGGTTCCATAGTGTAGTGGTTATCACGTCTGCTTTACACGCAGAAGGTCCTGGGTTCGAGCCCCAGTGGAACCACGGGTAGAAGCGTCTTTTTTTTTTTTTTCTCCGACTTTTTATATCCTTTGAGTGCCCAGGTGAAAAAGCGAAAAGCAAGACAAAGTTCTTTTCTTTCCCTTTAAAAATAATAATTATTTTACTTTTCCATAGGGGACATTAATTTTTTTTCTTAATTTTTTTATTTTTGGGGAACAAGGGGGCATGCTTTATCGCAGAAGCGTAATGACAAATACCCTCTCCTCCCATCCCCGCCTTCCTGAGAAACCCCAGAGGTGGGAGCCCGGCCGTGGCGTAGTCGCCGGGACGTCCCCGCCTCGCCGGGGCAGAGGCAGCCTCGGAAAATCCGGAGCTCCTGGGAAGCAAGATCACCTGGCGAAGCCCTTTTCCTGCAAAGCCAGGACAGACCTGCCCCACAAAGCCTCCAAGTGAAATATGGCAATGCAAAAGCGCTTAGGCTGCAGTTGAATTATTACAGGTTTATGATTATTATTATTATTAAAGGGTTAATGTTTCATTAAACTCTGAAATGTAGAGCAGGGGGAAAAAAGTCCTTTTCTTTTTTATTCGACAGTAGGGTTTGTGGAATGTGACCTTCGTCTGTGCAATGACGAATCCATACACAGTATAGAATAAATGTCAGGCTTCTGGACCCCCAATAAATGCTGAGTAAATGACACCGTTTCTCTAGCTCCTGTTTGTTCCTCTTTAGAGTCCATGACAGTTTCGTTTGGGGGTGGGGGTCATTGTTATCCTTTTGTATTGGCCTTTTTCATCTTTGACAAGAGGAATGAAGGAAAGGTATCTGGGACCCTGGGGGCTGCGGTGGAATAGTGGCGGCCAAAAACGAAAAAGGGAAGGGGAAACTCAGTGTTTTTCCCTGCATTTCCACATTGTTTTGCTCATACACTGTGTAAATTTGCGTCCTTTTCTGAGTCAAGAGTATAACACATGATTGTCCCTGTTATCACCATCGCTTCATTAACTTAATTTTTTTTATCATTATAACCATTTTTAAGTGTACAGTTCAGTAATGCTAAGTATATTCACATTGTTGTGAAAAAGATCTCCAGGACTTTTTTATATTGCAAAACTGAAACTCTGTACTCGTTAAACAACTCCCATTTTTACCCATCGACTTTATTATTAATGGCTGTGTAATAATGAATTATGTCTAGCACTGCTTTAAGTATGTACGTAATCGTCCCATTTGAACCTCTAACTCTATGAAGTAGGCATTGTTATCATCATCTTATAGATGAGAAAGTTGAGGCATAGAGACCTCAAGTGACTTGCCTAAGGTCACATAACAAGTGGTTGAGCTGACATTTGCACTCAGTCTGGCACGGGAGTCTGTGCTCTTAACTCTACGCTCAGCACTGAACCCCCTAATCTTGGCCATGTAGATCGGTTCCTATTTTTTGTTATGATAAATAACACAGCAAGGTACCTCTTTGTGTGTAACTGTGTCCCCCCTCTCAAACTGAGTATTTTCCCGAGTGAGTGGGTCTGAACGGGAGGCCAAGTTGCTTTCTAAAAAGGGAATCCATGTCCCTTTTATAGAATTTGACAATGTCAATGCTTGGTTAGCAGGAAATTGCTCAAGGTCACCCGCTAGAAGATGATGGCAAAGAAAGGATTAAGATCTGGGTCTTCTGATTGTAGTTTCTATTGCCCTCCACTGCTTCCCTTAAATTTAAAGGTAGCGTAAAATACCAGTATCTTCCTTTGCTACACAGCAACGTCAGTTGACATTAGCTTCTTCTCTGAGACTTCCTTGTTGAGGCAGGTAACTGTGTGGGTTAACTTAGTAGGGCTCAGCCAAATCCCTAAGAACTAAATGGAATAAGATGCTTAATGAGGCCAGTGCTCAAGTTAAGCTCCTGCTTCTGAGGAAACCCTCCACTTGGATAAGGTAGAGCTACAGCCAAGGACAAGGGGAGAATGCCACGCAAGATAGAAGGTTTCTTGTTCTTACTTCTCTTTGGCTACGAAGGTATGTGCTGCCCATTAGCATTTATCGAATACTTAATAGTACAATTGAATGAATAATTTAGCTGGTTAATAGCAATGCAACCTGAATAATTAAAACATCATTAATTAACAAGGCATGTTAATTAACCAAGATGCATTGTTAATGAATAACGGTTGTCTTTATGTGGAAGTGATTCTCTTAGTTTCTCACCACTGGCTTTCTGGTTCTCCGAGGAGCCTCCTAAAGTTCAAGGGATGCTCTAAATGGGATAGAAAGAAGGAAGGGTCTCAGAAATCATAGAAAAGAGCTATAAATTGCCACGATTGATAAGGAAGTGTGGTGTATCCTTGAAAATTTTGAGGAGTCAAAATTAGAGTGATTGTAGAATTTAATCTTCCAAAGTAGGACGCCATCGAGAGTGGAAGACGATGCTATTAATAATTCTGCTGGGACAACAGGTGTAAACCAGGGCTGTCCCGGGCAAATCGGGACGTGAGGTCACTCTCGTTTAAACATGGATTAACATAACACGCCAAGTCCCACTGGACTCTAATAGAAAACATAATCCAACTGAGAGTCAGGAATCTCCAAAGACTCTGTAACACTCAGTCATTTTAAAATTTCTAAATATGGCCCTGGCAGGAGTAATATGCCTAAATAAGAAGAAATTAAAAGCAACTCTCTAAAATATCATCCAATTCGATGATGAAATTCTCTCTCAGTCTTTGAAAATAACACTCTTCCATGCCTCTCTCAGGTCTCAAGGACCTGTTAGCTGAGAATTCCTTTTTAGGTTCATTCTGGACATTAGCAATTGGCAGGATGGCTTCTTTGGGTCATTGTGTATTTGTGTGTGTCACAGGAAGTAAGTAAGGAGGGCAGGAAGGAGGAGGCCTCTCCACTCTGCAAATGACCGGATACCCAGTCATGACGCAACTCACGCAAGTAGAGTCAAGATCCCTGGTTTAAATCGCGCTCCTCTCTGCCCTCTCATTAGATGTTATTGCTAGAGTACGTCCTTTCATATCTCCCATTCTCATGACTTTTTTAGTCACCTTTCTCAGTATTTGGAAAGATCTGTATGAATATAATGCCAAGGTCATTTTACAAACCCAAATATATTTCTCTTTTTTTTTTTTTTAATTTTTTTTAATGTTTATTTATTTTTGAGACAGAGAGAGACAGAGCATGAACGGGGGAGGGGCAGAGAGAGAGGGAGACACAGAATCCGAAGCAGGCTCCAGGCTCTGAGCGGTCAGCACAGAGCCCGACGCGGGGCTCGGACTCACGGACCGTGAGATCATGACCTGAGCCAAAGTCGGACGCTTAACCGACTGAACCACCCAGGTGCCCCACCCAAATATAGTTCTAAGTAGGGATCGTGTAGACCACTTGTCTGGGGTTTTTTTCCTCTTTGCAATGAAGAGTCAGTCAGCAACTTGCCCCAGTAACTCTCAACACTTGAAGGTGCTTCGGGCGGTTTGTTGCTTTTCCTTTAGTCCTTGCCCTTTCCTCAGCAAGAAAAATCTAAACAGAGCCTCGCAAGGCCTAGATTCCAATACCTCTGGTTGTCTGAGGGCCGTAGGCCTCCCCCTCAGATTTCTGTGTGATAGGCATTGAGATTCATCCATCCATCCATCCATCCATCCATTCACTCTTTTGTCGGCTCCTTAAAGAACCCATCCCTGAGTTCCTGCTATAGGCCAAACATCGTGTAAGAACGCAGGGCAGATCTTTGTTACTTTCCCAGTGCTGAGCCTAACAACTGTGCTCTGTGACCCCCACGTGAGAAGAAGCCCTATAAAAGTTTACCAGCCCATTTTTATATTAGACCGGCCCTTTCAGGAGATACCTGTACTAAAACACACACTGTCCCGAGGCACAGAGCACAACATTAGTTCCTGTCCTAGAGCTTACCAATCTGTGTGCGCGGCTGAGGAGCTCCAGGAATTTCCACGAAGAGCAGAAAATACCATCTGTCTAGGCAGAATGGCATGTGGTCCACTGGGTGGTCTGGTGACCATTTTATGGTCAGCGTGGCTTGGCGACCTGTGCGTGCTCTAGCCCGAACTAGAGGGGTGCTCGAGAGACAGAGAAAAACTACAGGATGCGGTTGCTGTATTTAATCAGCTCACCATCCAGATAGAGAATCGAGGCCAACGCAGACGGGAAAGATGTTTTCTATTGCACAACTGGGAACCTGAAGACAAAGGTTCTTTGTCTAATTTATTCTTCACTGGTTCTGTTCCACGGTGGCAGCAGCTCCTTATTACAGTGAAATAAGATAAATAGATTGACTCCACTTAGGCGTCGGACGAAGGTTCATTTGGGAATGCACAAATGATCACAGCCCAAAACTCCGTGCATCTTATAACTGAGGCAGGCTTCTATTTATCTTCCGTTGGACATTTTGGATTCAGTGCAAATGATGGTTTTTAAAAATCCATCTTATTACAATATATAGGTCTATCACTTGGTCATGTTCATTATATATATAAAAAAATCAAGCCTCATCTTACAGGTGTGTCAACCATAAGGGACGTAGGGTTTTTTTTAAGTAGCTTTATTGAGATGTAATTCTTTTTTTTTTTTTTAATGTTTATTTATTTTTGAGAGAGAGAGAACGCAGGGGAAGGACAGAGAGAGAGAGAGAGGGAGACACAGAATCCGAAGCAGGCTCCAGGCTCCGAGCTGTCAGCACAGAGCTCGACACGGGGCTCGAACCAGCGAACTGCGAGGTCATGACCTGAGCCGAAGTCGGACGCTTAACCGACTGAGCCGCCCAGGCACCCGGAGAGATGTAATTTCTATACCATTAAATTCACCCATTTAAAGTGTGCGATTCAATGGGTTTTAGTATATTTCTGGATGTGTGGAGCACACAATCCAATTTTAGAACATTTTGTCACCCCCCAAAAGAAACCAGTAGACATTAAGCCCATCTCCCCCTCTCCCCAGCCCCTGGCAACCACCGATCTACTTTCCATCTCTGAGGATTTGCCTATTCCGGACATTAGGTTTAAATGGAATCATACAACATATGGTCTTTTATCTTTCACTTCGAAAATGTTTTTGAGATTCATCTGTGTCGAAGCATGTACCCATGAATATGCCTGTAGCCAAAAATAGCAACATTTTCACACCAGAACAGTTTCCTTCTTTCTCCCTCTTTGAGAGGGACATCGCCGCAGCCGGCCGTTTTCTTCCCGTGTCTTACCCTTATTTCTAAAGTAGATGGGAAGCTAGCTACTGACACTTCTTGTCATTCGTAATCTTATGCTTTTCTCCTCAGCTTCATCTGTTTCCATGGGAAGGAAGGCTCTGTATTTAGTGACATGCATCAAAAGGACTAAAAGAGTCTTTCCTGCGCGTGTCTAATGCCCACTTTTCCTCTTGAGCTTGCAAGGTACACTTTGAGAAACAGCAAAGCCTCAAATTTTCTTGCTGTGGTAACGGGTTTCCCCACGGAGTGGCCCTTTGGGCAAAAGGGCGGCATGAGCTCCTGTTGCATACACCTAAGGTCGGTGCGTGGGGGACATCTCAGGTGCTCTAGTGGAAAAACCCGTACCACGGGGAGGAATCTCGAGAACAATCCACGTAGGGAGAAAAACATACAACCACATAATCAAAATCTTTTCCTCTTTCTCCTTTAAAGGCTGACCCGTTTTCTGTCGCTCATTCCAACAATGCTATTTTCTGGTATTATAAAATGTTGCAGCCAAACAGGCTTTTGCTTTGGTTTGCCAGCGTTTCGGTGATCAAATCATATTGGGGGCCACACTGCCGTGTTGCTGCTCCCTTGGGGGCAGCTTTTCCTGTCAAGCACTTGTCCTTTCTTTGCTCATTTCCGTAAGGATCCGGTGCCTCAGATCCCCAGCCTGTCTATAGACAAACACTTTCCGCTTTCCAGGGGGTGGAGGCTGGGAGGGAAAACACATCAGAAATCTGCCCGACGTCTGACCGAACACGGGAAGTGGCTCTGAAACCAGGTCTGCCTCTTAGGACTCTTCGTCTCCACAGGCAGACGGTGGCAGTACGTCCCCCTCCCTTCTTTTTGGCCTTCTCTCTTTCTGCAGAATGCAGAACCCAGAAGGCTCTTATCTGAACCCTGGGTTTGCTGAGTCGCGGATGCATAAACCCCCCTCAGTGACAGACGCAGCCTCTGGGCCAAATTGATCTGGTTATCAAGGCCACACTGTCAGTGACCCACAGGCTTTGCCTTTGACCCCCCCCCCCCCGGCCCCCAGAAAGAGGATCTTGGCACGACTGACGTTGGCCCCACTGACAGGGCCTTTCTGTACCTCAGCCACACCCAGCTTCGCTAGAAGGTGGGGTGGAACCAAGTGTCTCCTGGATTAACAACCCCCAAATCGACTAGATGCCAATTGCTCGTGCGCTTTGCAGTTCTTGGGGAGCAGCTGCGAGACTAAGGCTGTGGCTTCACGTGTGCATTCACTCCAAGGGCCACGGGGCGCCACCGAGCCTGTCTGGGCTTTCCAGCCAGCTGCCCGCTCAGCCTCAACGAATGGAACATCTTCGCGCCATTCCCCCCCCCCCCCCCCCCTGTTCCTCCTGGAGCCTTCCCCGCGCCCAGTAAACGGCAGGTCTATCCTCCCAGTGCCTCAGGCCTTGAACCTCTCTTTCTGTCACACCCACGTCATCTGTCAGCAAGTACTCTTGGCATTGCCTTCCAAAGACAGAAGCCAGCCACTTCTCATCACCTCCATTGCCACCACCTGGGTCAAGCCCCCATCATCTCCCTTCTGGATGGACCGCTGCTTGCCCGCTTAGGCTCTCCGCTTCCGGCCTTGCCCCAGACCATCCAGTCTACACCCAGCAGCCCGAGGGAGCCTCATAAACCATGATCTGTCTTGTCCCTCCTCTCCTCGAACCCTTGTGAGGGCCTACTCAGGCTAAATGCCAAAGTCCTCACGTGCCCACAGGCCCTGTACTGATTGCGTCCCATACCCCCTCTCTTCATCTCCTAAAACCCTCTTTCATCCCCTGGCTCCAGCCCCAGAGGCTCCTTGCTCTCTCTAGAACACGCCAATTACCCACCCACCGCAGGGTCTTTACACTTAGTGTTCCCTCTGCCCAAAATGCTTTGCTCACAGGTGTCTCACTTCTTTCGGGTCTTTGCTCCAACATCACCTTCTCACTGCAGGACACTTCATTCATTCATTCATTCATTCATTCAGTAGCCCTCACCACCCCCAGCCTAGTCTATATACACCCTATGAAGGTGGGTACTTTTCCCATTTTGTTAAGGGCTATATCCCCAACGCCTAAAGCCAGGCCTGGACTATAGTAGACACTCAATGAATATTACTTAATGAATAAACGCTTTGGGGCCAGTCACCATCAAGTATCTTCCATATCAATTTCTATAATCGTACAAGTGCTTAGATAAACCTGTGCACAAGAAAAGGGTGGGGCATAAAGGCCAGAGCAAGTGGTGAGTTGTACACGGGGGACAGAAAAAGCCCCCTTCGGGGGGAAGGGAACAAGCTGGCAGAAAAGTTGGGAGACGAGGGCCTTTAAAGCCAAGAAATCATACAAAGGCATGGAGGCATGAAACAGCCTGGCACATGTGATGAATTGCAGGTAGTAGAGAACGCAAAAGATGAATCTGGAGAGGCAGGCAGGAGAGAGATGATGGAGATTTCCTTGAGAGACACATCGTTATCATACTCATTTTAGGCATAAGGAAGTGGAGAGATGTGGCCATACAACCAATAAATGTCACAGATGGAGCCTGGACCCTTGCACCGGGGACCCGCCAAAGGGTTTGGAGCAAGAAGGTGGCACAATCCGGTCTGCGTTTCGCCCCACCGGCAGCGTGAAGGGTGGATGAGGCAAGGTCTCTCTTCAGCAGGGAGAGCATCCAGGGAGAGAGAGTAGGAGCCCAACACAGGCAGTGGCGGCGGGGACAGAGAGGATCGAGGCCCCTGGGAGACGTTGGATATGGGGGTTTAGAGAGAAAGAAAGGGGACTAAGACACATCCCAAGTCTCTAGATGAGATGCTAAGTGAACAGGGAAGCCACTCAGTAGGATAAGAAATAAAGGGGAAGAACAATTTGAGAAAGGTCGTAATGAGCTGAGGTAAAAAAACAGAGTATTGAGGTAAGATTTACATACAGAAAAGTATAGCCCAGTGAATTGTCACTGTCGAACACACCCATATGACCGCACTCACATCAAATAGCAGAATATTGCCAGCCCCCGACTGGCAACCGTGGGCTTTCACCTTGCTGCTCCCCACGCCAGATGTGACCAAGACCCTGATGTCTAATGGCATAGATTACTTTTAAATGGACCCCTATGGTGTGTCCACTTGAGCAAGGGACCCTCCACTCAGCCCTGCAATGTGGTGGCCCACTGTATGAATTTGCCACATGTACCCATTCTACTCTTGATGGGCATGCGGGTGTTTCCGAATTGGGGTTACTACAAAGACTGCTGCTGTGAGGAATCCAGCACAGGTTTTGGTTAGTTGGAGAACATATGCACGCGTTTCTGGTGGGTACTTAGGAGCAGAACTGCTGGGCCTTAGGGCGCATATACATTCAACCTTCCTATAGGCTGCCACGTAGTTTTTCAAAGAAGGTAGACCAACTTACATCCCCACCAGCAGCATAGGAGAGTTCAGGTTGCTCCATGACCTTGTCAAGACTTGGTTGTGTCCAAGTTTAGGTAGGAAGAGACACCTATGGGGAGATGCCCGGTAAGCCATTCAAAGCAAGAATTGTAATCTTGCGTTTAGCAACATTTATGAGGCAGGTAGAAGAAGCAGAGCTCTCAGAGAAGAGACTGACAAGGGTATTTAGAGTGATGGGAGCACCAGGTGAACTAACTGTGTGATGGAAGCTAAAGGAAGAAGGAAGGGACCGAGAGCATATTGGAGCATGAAGACATAAGGTCAGTGTTGGAAAGAGTCCATTGGGTACGAAAATAAGAAGTCATTGGCAACTTCTTTTGCTAGCACAGGGCTTGGCCTCCAACCAAGATGGCGCTCCTAACCTTCATTGCTATCTGAGAGGATTAATTCTGCCCATAGCAGGTAGGCCAAGGAATCTCTAGGAATGAATAACCAGTGTACGAGGGCCCAGGAGAGACAGCAGTTTGGGGCCGCAGGGGAGGGGTAGCCCTCAACTGCTCTGACTAAAACATATGCTCCCCTTAACTCCCATTGCAGCCTATGCAGAACCCAGTGGCGTGCTCACCGTGTGCATCATCCAGTGTCTTCTCATGGGTCCTCAAGCCCCTTGTGGGCAGAGAGCAAGGCTTCCATTTCAGAAGGCCCAGGCCCTGGGGCAGTGCCAGGCTCACAGTGGACACAAAAAAAGGGGTTTGCAGAAGAAATAAACATGTATTATTTAAATGAAGGCACAGTTTGAAAAAGATAGCTTTTATAATTGTGATACAAAAGATGAGACCATTCCTCTACTCTCAGTAACAATCTGAAAGGGGTGTGTGTGTGTGTGTGTGTGCGCGTGCGCGTGCGCGCGCGGTGGGGGGGCATAAGATTCAACTTTTAGATAGGAAAGTGGTTGAGGGACTTTTATTTCCTATTGCCTACACTCCAGTTTTGGTCAAGATTTTTATAATAGGTATGTGCTGCTTTTGTAATCAGAAAAGAAATGAAGATATCCATTTTGTTGAAAATGGAAAATGGAGCTTTGGTACTTTAGCAAGCACTGCCTAATGGAATCTTCTGCTGTGATGAAAATGTTCTGTACCTGTGCTCTCCGGTACATCAGCCACTAGCCACATGTGGCCAGGAAGCACTGAAATGTGGCTGGTGTGACCGAGGAATTGAATGTTTAATTTTATTAACTTTATTTTATTTTATTTTTTATTTATTTATTTTTTTAACAACTAGAGTTTTCTTTTTTTCAATTTTTTTTTTCAACGTTTATTTATTTTTGGGACAGAGAGACAGAGCATGAACGGGGGAGGGGCAGAGAGAGAGGGAGACACAGAATCGGAAACAGGCTCCAGGCTCCGAGCCATCAGCCCACAGCTTGACGCGGGGCTCGAACTCACGGACCTCGAGATTGTGACCTGGCTGAAGTCGGACGCTTAACCGACTGCGCCACCCAGGCGCCCCTAATTTTATTAATTTTAATTAATTTGAACGCAAGTAGCTTCATGGGACTAGTGCTTATGCATTGGGCAGCAGAGTTTAAACAATCAGTTTATGCTAATGTACACAAACTCTTTTCCTATTAAATTGTGCATTCAGGGCACTCACTCTTAAGCGTCCGACTTCAGCTCAGGTCATGATCTCATGGTTTGTGGGTTCTAGCCCCGCGTTGGGCTCTGTGCTGACAGCTCAGAGCCTGGAGCCTGCTTCGGATTCTGTGTCTCCCTCTCTCTGACCCTCCCCTGCTCGTGCTCTGTCTCTGTCTCAAAAAGAAATTTTTAAAAATTTAAAAATTTTAAATTGTGCACTCATTCTCTTTATTCGAACTTCTATAAAGATACTTTATATGTTAGTTTTATGTTAAATTTGACATAGTTTTCCCACATTACTTATACAGTATTTACACTTTGTGGTTTGATATTTCCTGTACATTACAGACAAACCTTAACAAGATTTTCTAAACAATTTGTTAATCCTAAATAACCTATATGTGTCAAGTGCGGGGGTGCCGTGGCGGTGGGGGGGGGGGGACTAGGAATCAGCTCCTGACTGGCACATAAGGCAGACCCTAGGGATCCTGTTGCTGCTGCTGCTGATGAAGAAGAAGTAAGTAACGGAAGAAGGTAGCACTTAATGTCAAATTTAATAATGTAAATTGTAAACATTGTTTAAATACTAGGTTCTCAAGTAGTTTTAAAAAACACACATAGAGGGGCGCCTGGGTGGCGCAGTCGGTTAAGCGTCCGACTTCAGCCAGGTCACGATCTCGCGGTCTGGGAGTTCGAGCCCTGCGTCAGACTCTGGGCTGATGGCTCAGAACCTGGAGCCTGTTTCCGATTCTGTGTCTCCCTCTCTCTCTGCCCCTCCCCCGTTCATGCTCTGTCTCTCTCTGTCCCAAAAATAAATACACGTTGAAAAAAAAAATTAAAAAAAAAAACACACACATAGAAAAAAGACTGGAAAGATTGATATGAAAATGTCAACAGTGTTGCCTTTGGTGATAAGAAATACGGGTGCTTCCCCACCCCCCTTTGCTACATTATTTTCCAAAATTCTATAAAGAATGAAAAT